GAAAGAGTAAGAATATGAATATGAATATGAATATGAATATGAATATGAATATGAATGTGGAAATGAATACATCGGCTTTGGCGGAGGAAGCGCCACCGAGGTCACCCATGTGAATCTCGCTGCCTTCGGTGTCCATCATGATGGCGACGGCGAAGCCCTTCTCGTGGTTGAGGCGGCGGACGCGGTCGATGACGGTCTTGTGCCAGTCCCTGGTGCCATGGCACATGTTGAGTCGGGCCACGTTCATGCCTCCGACGGCCAGGGCCTCCAGCTGCTCGAACCCGCACGTCGCCGGCCCCACTGTGCACACCAGCTTCGTCCGCCGCGTGCTGCGGAACCCGTTCTCCTTCAGCTCCGCCTCCGTCACGGCGTCCACCTCGATGGAGGAGGGATCGGAGGGCGGGGCGGGGGCGCCGTTGTTGTCGGACACCAGCACCGAGGCGCGGAGGCTGGGGAAGCGGCGAGCGAGCGAGAGGCTCGGGGGCGGCAGGTGGAGGCGGGTGGGAATGGCGGCGGGCGGAGGGGTGAAGAGGTGGAGGGAGTGCGAGAGTGAGAGTGAGAGTGAGAGTGACATGTTGGCGACTGAATTGCGTTTGCGATTGAAGGTTTGAGTGTTGTTATTAACGGAGTTGCAGCTGTCTCCACCCCGCTGCGGAAACTACGAGGACTGCTCTCATAATATACGCTACTAGTCCTCACTCCTCATCACACTCACACCCTAATTTTTTATTTTCCATGTTCTCAATAACTATTTTTCTCTCTGTTAATCATGCTTATTTCAACCTAAACTACTCAACTGAAATATGTTAGGAGTCACTTGAGATTCATACTTTTTTTACTCTCTATGAAAATCATGCAGTGTTGAAACATAACGTAAAACAAGCATACTTTGTCATAAGAGAAAAAGTTTAAGAAAATTACTTGCATCACTTTCACAGAAGTTTTACTATTATGTAATTGGATTTTGTAAAAACAATAAATGTGGAGGTAAAAAGGAAAGGTTCGAAAGTACAGTTTTAATAATAATAGACATGGGATCCAAAATAATTATAAGAGTATGTTTGGTAATTAAAAAAATTATATATATAGGAAAAGTGTGTAATTAGTAAATGGGAGTGTAAATAGCAAAATTATCTTACAAAATTTAAAATTAAAAAAAAAAAAGTTATAAAAAAGTGATACATGATTTGATCTTCTAAATAAACATAACAAAATATTATCTAAATATAATCACGATAATAAGTAATTTTCCCATTAAAACATTCAAATATTTAGAACATCAAATACATCTACCATTACCAATAATCTCAAATGGTGAAAATTAAAAATATTTATATTTAAATTTAAAATAACAGTTTTATATACATGGGATTGAATACCCAATAAATTAATATTGATAATAGATAAATTATCTTAAAATATAATTTAATAAACCAATTTTGAAACTAGATCGGGATGTATTTTAAGATAATCTTAATTATAATGTATTAATATTATTTAACTAATTAAATTTATCTTAAAATATAATATAATAAGTCAACTTTAGAAATACATTGTGGATGTATTTCAAGATAATCTTAATTATAATTTACTAGTATTTTTTAACTAAAAAAATAAATATATGCATAGTAGGTCATTAATTAAATTGCATGATTTGTTTATAATTTTACATTGAAGATATAGTGTAAAAGTTATATTTGAAATACAAATAATAAAAACAAATGTTAGTTTGATAAATCCTTTATTTTTTAAAAAAATTATATGTACACGGGGTTTATCCATCACTTATTTAGTTCATTCAAAAAAATCATCCAAATCATATCAATTCATATTGAATTGATGACATATTCAATTGATAAGAGGCTCGAGTTAACTAGATTATCAATTCAAGTCAATTATTACAATATTACATGTATTACATATAATAATACAAAACATAATTATCATAAATAATATTTTTTTTTTATCAAAATACCTCATTTTAGAAAATATTATTTACGCTAAGTTAGTTAGCTTATTTAAGCTTATATGTCTATTGATTACCTAAATACTTATATGATAAGTAAATAGATTTTATAACATGATATACTTTAAAAATGACACAAAGTATAATAAATACATATATTTAATAACCACACACTATCACATGATAAATACATTTTAATTTATAATAGAATTAACTAAAAATAACTAAATCAATTACTTTTAGCAGTCTTGATAATTTTTTCTACATTACTTATAAGCAGGACCATAAATATTATAATGGGTAGTAAGATAGATAGAAAGGATTATAGATATTTATACTAACAAATTATTAGTCTAATTTGAATTAGACTTGATCTTTTTAAATATATTTTTGAGTTCAAGTTTTGTAAATAAAAAATGTAATTAAGAGAGAAAATTTTACGACTAAAAGTAGTTAGCTAAATTTTTTATAATAATTAATTATTAGTGAAGTAAGTGAATACTTCAAACCTATGACAAGAAAAAAATAAATTATAATGAGCATTTATGATGTTGGGTTGTCGACGTATAATTATCCAAAATTATCTTATCTATCAAATTTAGTTCTTTTATTATATATTATCCTTGGTCTTGTTTTTGTAATAAATAAATAAATAACTAATTCATTAAAATAGTTAAGTTAATTAATTTTATTTGATAATATCATAAATTTAATTTTTATTTCAAAATTATTTATGATATCAAATAATTTTAACAATTATTATATTTAATGTCATTTAAAGGTAATTTATTCCTATAGGATGACTTAAATTGTTAAAAGGTCAATAAATGCTTTCAGAAGACAACGAGTAAGTGTCTTATTAGTGTATTCCATAATAAATTTAGACTAGAAATAATGCCAATAATACATTTTCAGCACACCCATTTTTATGGGTTTAAATTTAATGAACATCACAAAATCAAATGAGAAAGACATAATTTTTATTTTATTTTTTTAGTAAATTTTAATTAATTAAAATAATATATTTAAAATAGTTTAGTAGAAAAAACATCATTAACATTTCTCTTAAAAGTATATATGTCATGTAACTAATATATTTGGAAATAAGTTCACATTTCTTATAGATATAACAATAAAAAGGTAATTATTTGTTCCGTATATAAAAGGGAAAAATAGTTCTCCAACCTGCTATTTTTATAAGACTCAGATTAAAAATTTTGTTTCCTCCTTTTAATAAAACTTAACCTAAAATAAATCTTGCATTAATTATTTTTTGACAAAAAATATTCATAATTAAGTCATTTTTTAATTTTAAAAGTAATTGGTAGAGTACAAATCTCTTTAATATTAAGTACATTAAATGATACTACACCTAATTTAAGAAATTTGTTTTTTTTTTCACAAATAAGTATAATTTGTTCCATTAATAAATCAACAAATGTATATATTTACATGATGGTACAAAAGAAAGTTAACAATTAATACATATTAAAATAAGTATTTATTTCTTATAATTAGGTTGAAAAAAAAATCCATTTGTTTTCTATACAAAAGATTGGAAAGAGTATTTTACATACTCCGTAAATCATATGTATTTAAAAATATATCATAATGAAAGTTTTTACTTATTTTATGGTATTGATTGAGTTGGGTTGAAATTTAAAATTTACGAGTAATAAAAATTTCAAGATTAATAAACAAAAAGATAAACTCATTTACACGTTCTACTTGGTCACTCCTAATTGTATTCTCTCAAAGCAACTTATTATGTTTGTTAAATATTAAATGTTTATTAATAACAAAATTAAATTTATTTATTTTTAAAACTAAAGAAACCTAATTTGTGAAATTATAGACAGGTTAGCCAAAAAATCATTTGATAAAAATATTTATTTTTGTTGATTTATAGTCCAGAGAATTATTAACTATTCTTACTCATGACACCGTAAATGATAACATTTAAAAGTTTTCCTACACGGGATAAACACGATTTTTCTATAGATATATCGTGAAATACAAGATTTTTAATATATACTATTAATAAATATGACACTACTTATTTTTCATGTCCATTTTATTTATACACTTTTACCTTTAATTTACTTTTTTTTTTTTTTTTTTTTTTTTTTTTTTTTTT